AATTTTTAATAGCCTAATTTGCATTATATTTCCTTTTGTTTTTTGAAAATTTATCCTGATTTTCCTAATCCTATAGTGGCATAGCGTTTAGTCAGAATTTCTTCATTTAATTTCCTGTTTTTTTAATTCGATTATATAAAATATTTTTATAAAACAAATTATACAATAACAAATTATACAAATATTTTAATAAATAGACTAAAAAATAAATTATTATTCATCATAAAAATGAACTAATAATAAAGATTCAGTATTCAATTTGATGACATTTACTTTATTCAAAATGAAAAGGACTTTTCTATAAATGTCTGTCATATTCTTTCAGATATATCCATAAAAACATTTTCTGCTGAATTTCTCTTGCTTATGAGATTTTTAGTCGGATAAAAAGAAATTCATAGGTGAACACTGAACTATTTAAGCCTATTTCTGCTTTCCTAAAATTTGCCTCGATTTTAATTTGGGCCTCGATGAGGCTATATCAAATGTTTTCTCCAGCATTTACCAATACTGGCGATTATTAAGCGATTTTATGTGAGTAGCAAAACAAATAGTGCAATTCAGGATTTCTGTTCACATAGAATCTATTACAAAATTTTCGACTACAATGCTCCAAGAAAGAATTTCAGAAGTAATAACTAAACGAGTCACTCACCAATTTATGAATAAAAAGAACAATTAGTTTGGGCATTTTTTTTAAATTAATACTATTTTATGTAGCGAATTAATAACTATTCATCAAAGTTGAACAATGTTTGAAATTAAGTGATAATTATTGAATTAAAGTGCCATCTGAAGCAATTTCCACCCTCTCCCCACCGAGTAAATTTAAAAAGAAATGAAACAAAATTTAAATTTAGACTGATATATTATTGTATTTCCTAATTAAAATTTTTAATGTGCTCATTGCTGGTTTCTGATTTCTGGCTCGCTTCGACTATTTGTCGGGCTAGACAAATTTTGTTAGAAATACAGGTGAGTTGCCAGCATCAATCTATTTGCAATGGTTCGTTCCAAGCATTGTTTTTCCTCTTCTTTCATTGCATTAATTAATTCATAATGTATCTTGCTGATCACCGTTCTTTTCAAAATTTTGTTGTCGCTATTATATATAAATAATTTGTCAAATGAGCTAGAATATGTGATATAAGAAAAGTACTTTAAAAAAATTTTTTGATGAGCCTAAAGTTAAATTCAATGTTTAATTTCTAGCATTTCATTATTTTACTCTATGCTAAAGGTAGAAGGTTCAGTGGATGGTTGCATTCATTCTGGAATGATGCTGGTGCTTAGCAGTAAATTTTCAAAAATCCGGGTGGCACGGGCGACTCAACTGTACTTCTATTGCCAATTGACGATCTGGCAAGATTTGTCTGATCCAACAAATTGAGCAATTTTAATCGGAAATCGTAAGCACTTTTAGAAGAAAAACAATAATTCGATCCTGGAAATCTTTGAAAAGGAAAAGACACTAAGAAATTGAATAAACTAAAAAAGATTAACAGAGAAAAACGAAAAGAAACGGTAAATTGAAAGAAATTGTTTACTAATATATAATAAAAACACATTCTCATTCAAATCCATAGATCTTCGCCATTCGGTCGGTCAAACCTTCCGCCTCGTCCTTATAACATTAATAGCTTTTGAGCAATGTTTGCAGTGAAGCTGCTTCTACGCTCCTTTGCCATTCTTCAGAGAGAGCTTTGCTTAAATTCTCGACTTTAGATTAGACTTGTCAGATTAAATATCTATTATTACTATTGACCAAAAAAATATTTCTTATTTTTTATGTCTGCTTTGGTTAGATAACTTATGGATTATGCTGATAAGAAAATGAGTTTAGAGTTTCTTCGCGACAAAACTTTTAGCATTATTCCTTTAGTAATTTCACTGATGTTTTGTGGCTTACCAGGCACTATTCAGTTTATTCTTCTCATAAAAGGGTTTTATTTATGTTGCAGGCAAGATAGGATTTGACAGGAATGTTTCAACTATATAGTTATCACTATCATTTTTCAAATTTTTGGAACTCTTTATACAGCAGGAATTTTATCTTTTTGAAACTAACTTTTCCTATGCAATAGTAAAATTTTACAGCATAACATTTTTTCATAAATTTTAAAAGCTATAAAGCATAAATTAAACATAAAATGTGTTAGCTAATCGAGAATTAGGTTATTAAATTAGGCAGAAATTGAGTAAGTTAAGTGGAATTTTTTATGATAATATGATGAAGCAAACAAATTATATGATATGATGAACAACTACTACTTAGTGCTAACTTATCACCGAGTTATATCAACGTTTATATTTGATTTGTTTACCTTTTAATATTCTTCTAGTTGTCAAGAAATTGAAATGGCCAATCGCCCATCAATTCATTCGTTAATTTTTATAAAATTTGAATAAAATGAATAAAATTTTGCTAATGGGATTAATCAAACTTTTCATTACATCCTTCATTTTGTACTTTCATTTTTATTCCTATTCCTATATTTTATAGGATCAATAGGAAGGAAGGAAGGAAGAATAGGAAGAAGGAAGAAAGAAAAAAAAAGACAAAAAAACTTTTAAAAAGAATTTTCCCAATTCAGAAATTCATGGCCAGTTTAAAGAAAACAATGCAAATTGGATAATTATGCTAATTTTGGTCCAATGAGGGTAATGAGGGTAAAACAAATAGGCTAGAAATTTAACTTAATATTTAAATCAATGCACACATTATGTTAGATCATAACTAGTGGAACAATTATATAACATTAAATAACTTATGAGCGATAAATTTTGAAATCAAACATTTTTCTAAAGTAGAATGTCCCAAATTGCATCCCATGGGATATGAATGAGTATTCCGCAGAAATTTGTCGCTAACGTTATTATTTATTATCATTAATTTTATCTATTGTCATCAATTTTGTTTATTGTATGTTTATTAAAATAATAGTTTTATATAATAATTTTTGTACGCAAATATACTATGCATACTTTGTATAAAAATATACTAATAAACGCAAATATTAATTTTATTTAATAAACTACTTAAAAAGCAGTATTTATTGGTTTTTCAAACGTAAGTAACTGCAAATTTTAAGTACTTTCACAATCATATCGTAATTCTGCAAAAAAAAATTCTTAGTTCCTCGAAATAATTCATTTCCCTAATCCTTTAGCATAACTTTTCTAATTATTTAATTATTTAAATTAGCATATAGTTTTTTATTTTATTTGAACTTTTGTTTATATGATTAACTCGATTAATGATAAATGATAACTGATAACCCAAGAAGGACAACTAAAGATGTAAGCGATTAATTATAAAACACAATAAAACAATAAATGTATCTTCATTATTCAGAAATAATTTATTCTTCGTTGTAAAAGAAATTAACGAAACGAGTCGTAAATTTATGAATTTTTGTTTTTCTGGTAGATGCCACCAAAACCACTCTTGTTGATCAAATTTAATTTATTTAATGGAGTGACTAAATTATTGTGACTAAATTTTAAGGTGCAAAAGTTCATTTGTGTTCCCTTCATAATCCATTTATGCATGTCTGGTCACTGAATGTTCCATCAAATCGTTCATTCAATCAGCGCTATTATTTGGAATATTGTTTGTATTGTAATGAGTGTGAAAAAAAATCTGATTTAGGTTTGGGTAGGTAGGTATATCAAAGGATGAAATGGCTTAATGGATTGTTGCTCAGTTCGGAGCGCCGATGCTGAGGTTCTATTCTCCTGTCTGAAAATCCGGGTGATGCTGGCGACTCGCTTGTAATTCTATTGCCAAGGGACTCCCTTGCATATTTGTCCTGTGTGACAAGTCAGTGGAACGAGTTCAACCAGTAATGGTGAGGACTCGTAAAAAAAGATAGGTAGGTGTATCACATTTTAATTGCAAATACCCTTTAGAAAACAAAATCCATTATTTCAGTGCAAATGACAAGTTGAAAAATGTAAAAAATTTTGGACCACTGAAATGTTGATATTGACACGACAATATTTGTTATGTAGCAGTTAATCTTCTAAGTATAGCCATAGCAAAATGATAGATGTCTAGCCTTAGAGTCTTTTCATCGGTTATTTCTGAGAAAATTAGGCTTAATTTTTTTCTACTTTTGTTTTTTGAACATTAAAAATTATAAGGAAATCATATAAAATTGAATCGAGTAAGGCGATTTGTGAAAATTTTCATCGAGTCTGATTCTCACATTTTATTTTCTTTACTTATTCTTTTATTCTTTACTTAGTTAAGTTTATTTTTTAGATTTGACAATTTTTCTCACTAAGATTTTCATCATTAATCAATGGAATATTTTTCATGCGATGTTACGATCTCTTAATTTATTTCAAATTGTCCATTCCATAACAAACATATTTTATTCAAGCGATGGTTACTCGAGTGGCCAAGCAAGCGATGAATCGAAAATTTGCATTTTCCTCACTAAAAAATTAATTTAGACACTTCCTTCGTAGCATTTCTTTCATTTATTGCTGATTAGTTTACATCGCTTCGCTTTTTTTGTTTTCTTTTTACCAGCTTATTTTCTGGGAAACAATTCGCATTTTATTCGTCTTCAGTATATCCGAGCTAACCCATAAGCCTATATTTATTGCAATATTTTGAACTTAGAACCACTGTGAGAATGAACCTTAAGCCCTTTTATTAAGATCGATTCATGAAGCGAAATTTCCGCTTATTTTTTTTCTTGACAAATCCATTAAATTTCATAATAGTTTCTTTCTGGTAGTTCACTCTCTAATTCCAGTGTAATTCCAGAAAAGAATGAAGAGATAAATCATGTAGTTAAGAACCACAAGTTAATTAGAAATATTAGGAATAGGCGGCAAGCGTTTGATACCAATTTGGGAATTCCGTGGTTAATTGCTGTTCTTCATTATATTTCAAAATGTGCCAGCCATCGTAATCTCACTTCTCATCACGTGGATAATCTTGCTAATAATACATTGCTGTTTTATAGGAAGAATTCACAACTATAATGTTATTAGCCCCTCTAACTTTGGTTTTTGTTGGAACTGTATGCGGTCTACAAATACTCAGCAAAGAAGCATTAGCAGAAAGAAACGATCAACTGGGTGAGAGCTTAAATTCTATAATGTTAAATTAATCCACTTTTAAGTTTTTGAAGCCCTTGTTTCAAGTTGATATTTTATTATAATTAATTCAGTCAGCCAGAAACGAATTCTCCAATTAAATTCTAATCCTCACAATCCTTAATTTACAAATTAAAGAAATTTTCTTCAGATTTTCACACAGCTCTTTCCTACATCATCCATGTAAAATTAAAAATTTTGTTTAATATTATTTTATTAATTCCTTCTTTACTATTGTTATTATTTTATAAACATTTGTCTTTGTATGATATAAATAAATCGAATATACCTATTTATGCTTCGAAACTTAAGTAATCTTATGGAATAAGCATTTTGGCTGAATAATTACAGAACCTTTAATCGCTAAAAGAAAATCAGCATACATGCGCTTTGGCCGTTCTGGTAGCTCAAATGAACCAGAATTAAACAGCATGGAGAAACGAAAGAGTGCTTATATGAGGTGAAACCATTCAAATTTCGGCATCAAATGCGAATTTATTCATCGGCTGACTCGAATTTTGCAATAAATCGAATTTTTTATCGCCAATTTTATTTATTTTAATATCATTAATAGCGATATCTTCTTTTAATTTCTCTTAGAAAATTCTCAGATTACTGAAATCCCTTGAAAATAACGAATTCGAATGGATATCTTAGTGAATCAAATTTCCACTTGGACTATTTTTTTGTTTAGGCTAGGTTGCATGATTTTTAAAAATCCAAATAATGCTTCCTATCCATTTGTAAGAAATTTTATCCAATTAAAGTATTTTGTTCCGATGAAAGAGTATTGATGGAAAGCCTGTTAGCCGAAAATGTTATATGTTACTTTTTGTTCACTAACATGACTATCATATTTTCGAACTCTATTAACAGCTGGTTAAATGACATTTGTGGCTGCAATACAAAATGTTCAGTTATTCCAATCATAAATTTGTCTTTAGCCATCCATTCTTTATAAGCGAAATTGCCCTGAAGCAATTCTTTTTAGATTCGGCAAAAGAGAAGATGATTCAAACGATTTTGATGAGTTTCAAGATCTTAAAAAACGAAAAAGTGCTTATATGAGGTAATTCTGTGCTTTTCTATGGAAAAAAATAACATTGATAATGATTGCATTTTGCCTACTTGCAGGGATTATCATAACGGGTTATTATTTTTATTTCAAAATAATTGGGTTCTATTCCCGATAGAATTAAACTTATCCTTCAAAAATCTGGTTACTCATTTTTAATTCTGTTTCCAATAGGCTTTCAGATAAAATTTGCCTGATCCGATATGCCAGCGGTGTAAGCGTAATCAATAATGGTGATTGCTTTCAGAAAAGAAAAATCTGCTTGCACTTAATCACTGCCTATTGCCCACTATGTTTTATTTTAGATTTTAAATTTAAATTGCTTGAATTTAATGAATTATACTGATTTGATTTTGTATTATCCAAGTGATCTTATCGGAAATTTAAAGACTCATTTAGATTTGGTAAGCGTTATGCGGAATCACATGAAACAAATAAACGAAAATCAGCATATATGCGGTACGGAATTTTTTTTGACCCAATAAATTCCCAGTAATTTTTTTTGTACAAAATTAATAGGTGAGAAGATGGGAAACTGATTGTAGCTTTCTTCAGAAGCAGTAAACAATCTCATCTTATGAATCTCTATTATATTTATTTAGTTCAGTTTAACAAGCAAAATAGCCCAAACTGTTTCAACAGTTTATTTTATGTCTTTACAAATCTTAACAAATACTGTAGTGAAAAAATTACTAGCGAACCTTGAACCATAACGATCAGTAGTTTTGTGTGCCATACGCACAGTACAACACCTTAAATTTGTAGAGAGCACTTAATAAAAGTGAAAATTGGTTAATTTTATGTCAAAATTGATCTGAACTGCTGCGCAGATTCATTCGTTTCATTCAGGATGGTTAACTAATATATAGCTTCGGCTAATGTCAAGCATCATGGTACTCTGTTCTTATCATTTGATATGAATAAACCTGCCATTAAAAGGCATATGAAATGAGGTTGCGAAAGCTGAGACTCCTTTTATTTCTATTTCCAAGCCACTGTCATCTTGAATTGCATATCCGATAATTGAGATTATTGGGAGATTTTAGCAAATTTTTTTTTTGAATCCATCTGAAGAAGCAAATGTTATTCAGCCAGAATGACATATCTAGGAAAACTGGGAAACAATTCATAATTCATAATTTATGCACATAAAATTTAGATTTGGAAAACGAGAAAACATTGTCGACATGACGGAAGATTATGCTCCTGAATCTGATATCATGAAAAGAAAATCTGCTTACATGCGGTAATTAATTTCTGGGTTCGAGAATGAATTTATATTGCTCATAAGCATACCAGTAGTTTCAGGTCCAAAAAGAGATGAGAAAACACATTTTGCATTGTTTTTCATATTTGCAGGAAGTAATTAAGTGAAAGGTTTATATCATTATTAGTTAGGTTGGCTCCACTGGCTTTTGGTAAAAAAATATTTTTGCCATACAGAGACAACTTGAAAATAGAGACAACTAAGGATCACAGGTGAATAATCCAGGCAATACACATTTTGAAACTATTAGAAAAATTAAACTAAAAACGAAACTATTACTAAAAACGGTGATATCGCAGTTTTCTCGCATTGGCTAGAAATTCTATTCGCATTCAATATCCTAAATCCTCAAATTTTTAAGAAATAATGGATTAAAAGCATATTCAATGTGAATTTCTAGCGATTAAAGCCTTTTAAATATTTGACGTATAAATATAAATTTTTTTTGCTGAAAGATTTTTTCTATTCTGTGGCGTAATAGGAGAGTTCGGAATCCCAAAGACTTTCTGGTTAGTTGAGGAGGAAATCAGTCAAATCAGAAATGGTGAGAACTATTTCCATAGTCGAGCAAATGTGATGTAGTAACTAAAATTTATTTTGTTACATTTTAATGAATAAGAAAAGCTTACGAAATTTTTAGGAATAGAAAGAATTGCTTAGGTAAATGAAAAAAATTGCACCTTTTCTATCATTATATATTTTATAGCTATTAATAATTGATAACGAACGTCGGGATCTAGGCTTGTCTAATAGGGCGCTAAAAGTCGGAGAAAACGGCTAAATATGGCTACGATCCTAGAGACTGTCGATTTTTAAGTAATCAGCATATTCGACCGGAAATAGCCAATTTCAAAAATCTATGTCAATGTTAATAGACAGCACTTTGTCTTGGCAGTAGCTAGTTTTAATTAGCTTTAAGAGCAGCATAAATTTAATTCCTTAACTAAAAATTTAATTAATTTCTCTTTAGTTTTGGCCGTTAAATGAATAACGGTATGATGGATGTGATTGATATAAAAAATTTCTGCATCTGATCTACAATAAATGTTATTTAATCGAATTTTCATTGTGTATTTCTTCATTATCACTAAATATTACTATTAATTTGGCTTAATGTTTCAAATAAAGAAGCTTTTTAATTTATCATACCGCAAAATCTAGGCAATTGTTTGACAATGTAACTAATTTCTGACAGCTCGGGAGGTTTTTTTTCTATCTTAATCATTATCAAACTCAGTTACAAAGTATTAGAAGTGGAACTAGTTGCATAAATATCTCAACATCGACGCTCATTACTACATTATCAAAAATGAAACTTTCCAATTTCCAAGAATTTCGCAATGAACTCAAAAATCTTGTTTACTATTTTCTTATCAGTTTCTCAGTTTTTTTTCGAGAAATACTTCTTGTTTTATAAAAATTAAAATTGTTCGCTAACAGTAAGTAATTTCGTAATGGGAAAATGAATCTTATGGAACGCTATTATCATTACTAAGCATACTTATTTTTTACTTTTTAGAAATTCAATGGAATATCAATCAAAAATTTCGATAATCTAAAAAATTAACACATTGTTAAACTCATTTTATAGAAATTCCGAACAGAATTTAATGCTTCAAATAGCAATTCAATTCAAGAATTTCATCGTTTCTCAAAACGGTGAATATTATCATTTCGCTTTTAAATCGTTCAAAAATCCTTCTGATTCTCTTGAAGATTGAAAAGATCAGCAATTGTATTAGTAACGAAACGACATGTATTTTAATTTTTCGGGAAATATTTTTACTGAAAATTACCCGTACTAGTTGATTGATTCTTATCGTAGCATTCGCTGAAGAAAATAATCTGTCATTATTCTTATTATTGCGAAAATATTTGTAATATAAATAATAAATACTTTTGATGGTTTGAAATAAAGAAATTATTTCAGCAATGTTACATAAATAATTTATAAAATTAGTCATATAATTTATTTCATTTGGCAGTTCTGTCGTCGATTAATTAATAAGAGGGAGTGAGGGAGGGGAGGGGAGGAAGGGGAGGAGGAGAGAGTGGAGAAGGAGGAGGGTGGGAGAGGGAGGAAATGATGCTGGTATTCTTTGAATTCGTTTGCTATCTATTCATTTATTCATTTCATTGCCCGCAAGTAATTCTCTCGTGAAATACTTACACTCTACTAGTCAATGAAACTAGCAATATTTTTGAAAGATAATTAATTAATTAATCAAGCTTGTTCGATGAATAAACGAAGCAATGTTTTAATTAAACATGTAAGATAGAAATGAAACAATAAAAGAACCTTCGAGGAATTCCACAAATTTACATAAATCATGTGATAAAATGATAAATTTTACCAGTTGATTAATCTAAATTATGTGATATGATAATAATCATATTGTAGTATATAATTACATATAATATAATTGATTTGATGAGGCAAACATCGATCTGCAACAATTTTATTCCACTGGAATACACGACATAATATTTTGCACTCGTAAATCATAAGCATAAATCTGAAATTCGTGGAACTTCAATTCCTAAACATCGGTCTCTTACAATTCTGGAATGGTCGAATTTCCTATATCCATTTTTATCATAATCTATCATAATCTATTTATCGTTTAAAGCATTATTATTCTTAACGTACTGTAATACTGTTTTGCATTTTATATTTAATTTGATAAAAATGATTGTGGATGATGATTTAAACGAAAAAAAATTTTGGCTAAATTCATTGATGATTTATTTATTCTTCAAATTGTTAATTTTTTTATTCTTTCTAATTCCATTTTTATCATTTGTTATCAGTCATCAAATTAAAAAATAAATTTTATTAATCACAAATTAATGTTTTAAACAAAGTTATCAATCTGAATGATTCGAAATTATAATTATAATTAAAGATGACCTCCACCCCACAACCGAAAAAAACTTGCATTCATTAAAGGTGAAATCCGAGTGCTCCTATGGACTTGTCAGCATAAAATTTAAATATTAAAACGAAAACATGAGTAATGTACTGGCAATAAGCCAAGAAGCAATTTGAAGGTGGCAGGTGTTATTTCATTAAGAGTTTTTGAGATTAAGGTGAGCTAGGAGTGTGGGAGGAAGAGAGGATTAGGAGAGTGGAGCGAGGGAGGGCGGAGGTGATGTTGGTAGACCTGTTTTGCTGGGGGTTCTCGGCTTTGAAAAACCGAGTTAATCAGTAAGGTGAAGTGGGTTAACTTCGAAGATGAACGATTACAGTATCGTTGATGAATTTTCTTTGGACTGGTTTTTCATTATTAGCTTCTTAGTTTCTTCTTCTAATATGTTAATGAAATAATTTTTCTTTTACATTTTTACATTTTTGCTAATTTTTTTTACATTTTTTTCTAACGCCTTACTGATTGGTTCTATTTTTATAAATATATTATTAATGAAAATAATTTTTTAGTTTTTAGTTTTTCGTGAATTTCATGTGGTTTTGCATAAGTAAATTTTGCGTTTTTTTTAAATAGTATTATTTGGAAATAGTATTTGTTTATTTTTAAAACCAAAATATTTTTAAATTCAAGTTTAAAGTGTTCGGTGGCAAAGGAAAAAAAAGTTTGGAAAAACGCTGATCTAAGCAAAATATCATTCAGATATGCTGCATTCTGCTGACTTCGTTGACATATTTCCATTTTTTTCCCAGCCAATTAAATCAGTAATGGGAATTGTTTCGTTTCCATGCTTTTTAATATATTCTAGAAACAATAAGAAGACTTTCTTAAGGAAGAAGAAAAGTGAAAGCGAAAGTTGGGCATAGGAAAGGGAAATTAATATAATTATACAACAACTCAAATCTTTAAAGCCTTTAGTTTAAACCTTTTCAATAATTGCAATTATACTTTGCAATTGCAGTTGATATTTTGCTGTTTGATTTGGTCAATTTTCATGAATGATAAAGAAAAATTTGTCTTTGTCTAAAATGATAGAGAAAAAATTAATGGATGAATTTTAAGGTTTGAAATTTTGAGGCGTTGAAATTGTCGTTCATCAAACAAAGTAATATGGCAAAAATAGAAAATTCTCTCATGTAAACATGGTTAATGAGGGATTCAATTAAGGATTTCCAAAATCGATTGATAAATCGAGAGAATCAGTATTTCAACTGAAACGCTATTTAGATCAATGTTTAATGATGTGCGCGTCATACAATACCACTCATTTAACTATTGAACAAAATCAAATGAACCATCTAAATTTTTTTTAATGAGTCCTCACCATTACTCGTTAAACTCGCTCCACTGGCTTGTCGCATTGGGTAACATGCCAGGGAGTCCCTTGACACTAGAAATACAGGTGAGTCGCCAGCATCACCCGGATTTTTATACAGGTTTAGTCCTGCGGGGAATCGAACCTCAGCATCGGCGTTCCCAATTGAGCAACAACCCTCTTACCATTCTGTCCCCTGAACCACCTAAGGTTATTTTATTTTATTCAAATTGGCATGGTTTTGATAAATAATAGTTTTAGTATATTGTTTTATTTAGAGGCAATAATATGCTGTGATTGTGTATTAGGGTTTATTATTGCAAAGATTTTGTTTTTATAAAAAGTTTGGTAATATAATATTTGCAGTTTATTCTTTAATTTATATAACAACGCGTTTTAATTTTGAAATGAATCGCTGAATTTTTAGACACAGAAAATCGTGAAAGTGAAAATTATCGAGGAATAATAAAAAAGCAGATTCGACAAAGAGGCTAAAATTTTTTTTTGTAAACTTTTCTTCAGCTATGAATGAATGAACTAAGCTCTCGCAATTTATTTCATTTATTTTTTTTATTTTGTTTTTTTTCGTTATTTTGAGCTGTGGGATTTCGGTTTGAATTTCTAAAAGATAAGGAGATACACGCGTACCTTTTATATGGCAACTTAATTTAGCATTTATTCTATGAATGTTTGCAGTTTACTTATTCTAAGTGATCTAACCTTGTTGTTGCTTCAATAACA